TCCAATAGATTGCAAACTCCCTTGCGACCTTTCAAAATTGCTTTGTCAACGGTATCGACCCGTTTGAACGAATTCCGTTTCGATAACTGAATATGTCTGTTGAAGTAATCCGCCTTCCCTCGGCCCGCCCTCGCAACATTCTCTAAAGTAGTAATGAAATCGGCGGCGCGACGCTTTTTCAAGGCCTTCAACACGTCGCGGGCGTACTCAACTGTACAAAAAGAGCATAACAAAATGGCTCCCTGTTTGAGACTGGGCTCCCAGTGTGGGCGTATTCTAGCACTGCTTTTTGCGCCACAAAAGTGGCGTCCGTGTCCTCGTTGTTTATTTTCACGACACGCAATACTTTCACTGGGTTGATGTAGACTCGCCTGTGGGCGTCTGGCTTCGAGGAAAACAAGCCTCTCTCAACATAAAAGTCCACGCTAAACTCAGTAGGGGGTTTCCGGCCGAATGTTTTTTGCCACTTGTCAATAATAGTAGCGGCCGTACTTTTAGGCCCCAACTCCTTTCGAACCCGCAAAATCTTCAAACAATTGATCACCCAAGACGATATCGCGACATCACTGTTCGTATGATCATCCGCATCCACTATGCTAAAGTTGGGCATGGCGTTTGAAAGTATGAACCTCGAAACAAAGGATATCCAACAGACAAAAGCCTCGAATCGAAATAGCTCCGGATATGCATTGCGGCACCGCTTGTTCTGATATCTCCACGCGCCTCCCAACAAACAACCGCGCCCGAAGACGCGCCCCCATGAGCCCAGATACGGCCCCAAAAAGGGATATGGAGCAATGGGCCTGGAACAATAGAGCTATAGATCTATAGGCCTATACGGCTCTAGGGCTATGGGCGTGTAGGGCTATAGAATTGTTAAAGTATAGAGCCGTTGGCTGTAGGGCCATAGGCCTATAAGGCTATGGGCCTACTCGCTTATCTAGATATACGGCTATAGCTATACGAACATCGAGCTATACGGCTATAGGGATATTGGGCTCTAGAACTACTGCAAATTGTCTACAAGGCCATGGTGCTATCAGGCTAAGGGGTTACAGGGCTAAAGGCATATCGCGAAAACGCTGCAGGGCGATACTCAGGCAAATTTTTGAAATTTGCCTGAGCATCGCCCCTCAGTGTTTGACGCCCTCACCCTTTTGCAGCCCTGAGGGATGCTGGCACCAGGACTGCGCCGACCTCTAGGACAATAAAGCAATAGTCTACATAGCGATGGTGCTATAAGGCTAAGAGGTTACAGGGCTAAAGGCATATCGCGAAAACGCTGCAGGGCGATACTCAAGAAAATTTTTGAAATTTGCCTGAGCATCGCCCCTCAGTGTTTTTCGCCCTCACCCTTTTCCAGCCCTGAGGGATGCTGGCACCAGGACTGCGCCGACCTCTAGGACAATAAGGCAATAGGCGATGGTGCTATAAGGCTAAGGGGTTACAGGGCTAAAGGCATATCGCGAAAACGCTGCAGGGCGATACTCAGGCAAATTTTTGAAATTTGCCTGAGCATCGCCCCTCAGTGTTTTTCGCCCTCACCCTTTTGCAGGCCTCAGGGACGCCTGCACCAGGACTGCGCCGACCTATGGGCAATAAGGCAATAGTCTACAAGGCGATGGTGCTATAAGGCTAAGGGGTTACAGGGCTAAAGGCATATCGCGAAAACGCTGCAGGGCGATACTCAGGCAAATTTTTGAAATTTGCCTGAGCATCGCCCCTCAGTGTTTTTCGCCCTCACCCTTTTCCAGCCCTGAGGGATGCTGGCACCAGGACTGCGCCGACCTCTAGGACAATAAGGCAATAGTCTACAAGGCGATGGTGCTATAAGGCTAAGGGGTTACAGGGCTAAAGGCATATCGCGAAAACGCTGCAGGGCGATACTCAGGCAAATGTTTGAAATTTGCCTGAGCATCGCCCCTCAGTGTTTTTCGCCCTCACCCTTTTGCAGCCCTCAGGGACGCCTGCACCAGGACTGCGCCGACCTATGGGCAATAAGGCAATAGTCTACAAGGCGATGGTGCTATAAGGCTAAGGGGTTACAGGGCTAAAGGCATATCGCGAAAACGCTGCAGGGCGATACTCAGGCAATTTTTTGAAATTTGCCTGAGCATCGCCCCTCAGTGTTTTTCGCCCTCACCCTTTTGCAGTCGGTTCAGAGAGGCCCCCAAGACGGCTTCCGACGGCGTCAGACGGGCCAGGAAAGCCCTAAGACGGCCAAAGAAGCCCCCAACAAGCCCCCCGAAGGCCCCCAGCAAGCCCAAGGAGGCCCCTCCGCTCCCAGCAGGCCCCAACAGTGCCCTCTGAGCATTGCCCCCTCTGCGAATCACAAAGATTCTGCAAATCTGGAAACCTGGAGCACCCTGAACGGACGAGCGAGACTTTGCTCCCAGGACCACGACCTCGGAGGAGGCCGGGAGGATGGAGGAGGCGGGAGGAAAGGGGAGGCCCCCCAGGTGGCTTCAGAGCTGCTTCCGGAAAGCCCCCCAGAAGGCTTCCAAAAGGCACCGGCAAGCATCCGGGAGGCCTCTGACCAGCAACCTGGGCACGGTGGCGGCATGGGCTGCTGAAGGGTGTCCACAACGGCTGGGGGAACGCAAGGACCAAATAGCTTGGCCAAACTTTGCCGAAACTTGTGGCCACATAGGCGTATCCTGAAAGGCAGCGGCGGCGGCGATTCGCCGCAGGAGTCTTCGATTCGTCGCCACCTGTGCTCTTGCCACAGGGGTGCTTGAAGGATGGAGCACGAGGATGCAGCTCCTCCTCCTCCTCCTCCTCCTCCTCCTCCCTCCTCCCTCCTCCCTCCTCCCTCCCCCCTCCCCCTCCCCCTCCCCCTCCTCCTCCTCCTCCTCCTCCTCTCGTCCTCCTCCCCCTCCTCCTCCTCCTCCTCCTCCTCCTCCTCCTCCTCCTCTCCTCCTCCTCCTCCTTCCCTTCTCCCATCCTCCCTTCCTCCTCCTCCTCCTCCTCCTCCTCCTCCTCCTCCTCCTCCTCCCTCCTAATCCTCCTCCTCCTCCACCTCCTCCCCCCCTCCTCCTCCTCCTCCTCGGGTGAAGAAGAGGAGGGGGGAAGGGGGAGGAGGGCGAAGACGAGCAGGAGGCAAGGTGTTGCTCCCTTTCCAGAGCTCGCGGGCGACGCGGCGCTCGGGGGCGACGCGCTCCGCCGCGGCAGTCAGTCCGATCCCGCCGCGTCGGCGGCGGCGCCCCGGCTGGCCCGCTTACGCGCCGCAAGGGGGGCCCCGTTGTCCAGCGGCAGGGGCCTCTGGAGCGCGTCCTGCAGGAACTGGGCGAGGCGGGCGTTCCGCTCATGCGCCGCGTTCTCGGGGGCGACCTCCATGGTCCTCCATCTGGCGCGACGAGGAAACCATCCGCACCTGAACGGACCCTTGCCCGGGAACAAGCAGCGAATCTGCCTGCTCTTGCCCTCGTGCGGCACGTCCGCGACCGGCCCCTCGAGCGCGGAATAAGCCTGCATTCATTTTCGGCTCCTGAAGCACCCTAAACGGCCCCAAAACGGCCCCATGCGGGGCCCACGACGGGGGGCGCGAACCGAACTTCCTAGGCCTCCGCTCCACGAGGATCCCAAGAGGTCCAAGAGACATCCAAGGTGCTCGAAAACAGCCCCGAAGGGGGTCCTCAAGGAACCGCTCCTGGAGAGGCCCCAAGATCGAAAGAAGCTCCAAAAGGCACCGAAGAAAACATATGCCCACAACCCAAGCACGATGGCGGGATGTGCCGAAGGCCATTAGATAGCGGGCCCAGCCGCACTGCAAGCAGGCGTGCCACTTCCCGTCGAGCGCCAACAGGGCTTCTTGGCGCACGCGGTTGACGCTCTGCAAGCCTGTCATGGACCCCCTGGCGGCCCCTGGCAACCTGCGCACCTTCTCGTGCCAAGGGTCCGGGTCCATCTCCTCCTCCTCGCTCTCGTCCTCCGCCTTCACCGAGGCGGCGCCAGCAGAGGGGCGCTCGGAGCCGAAGGAAGCAGCGGCCGCCGCCGCGGCGGCGGCCGCGGGGCGGCGGAGCGCGGCGGCCCTGGCGCCGCGGCGCGCGGCGGCGGCCACGGGCGCGCGGCGGCCTGCGCCGGCCGCGAGCGCGGCGGCGCCCGCGGGCGGGGCGCCCGGGGCGCGGCGGGAGCTGCCGGCGGCAGCTGCGTCGCCGTCGCTCCAGGCGGCCGCGCAGGCAGCCTGGCAGGTCGGAGGAGGAGGAGGAGGTATTGGGCACCAGCTACGCCCCCCACTTCTCGCAAGAGGCTTGCCACAGAGGTCCCGACGATACTCGATCCCCCAGGCTGGCGAGCGGGGCAAATGAAAAGGAGGAGGAGGAGGAGGATGGAAAAGAAGAGGAGGAGCAGGAAGAGCAGCAGGCAGGGGAGGGGGAGGAGCAGGAGGATGAGGGGGAGGAAGGGGGAGGAGGAGCGGGAGGAAGGGGAGGGGGAGGAAGAGGAGGAGGAGGACGAGCAGAACGAGCAGGAGGAGGAGCCATTTACCCCGCTCGCAGAAACCCTTGAAATGCCATACTGGAATATCTGATTCCAACGACCCGTGGGCGCGGGGGCCCTGGAGTCCCACCAGCCCTCTGGGCGACAGGTGGTCTAACGAGGTCTCTCTTTCCTCTCTCAAGACAATCAATACAACCCCTTCTTCCCTTGCCTACCCGCTTCCTTGGGCCTGGGCGGGGCGGGGAGGTGGCAGACGGCCCTTTTGGGCGCAGATGGCCCCAAGAAGGAAGAGGAGCGGGGAAGGAGGGTGGCAGAAGGGGGAGGAAGACGACGACGACGAGGAGAAGGAGGAGGGGGAGGAGGAGGAGGAGGAGGCCGACGACGACGACGGCGGACGCGGCGCTTGCGACGAAAGCGTCGACAGTTGCGGTCGTGGCGCCACGCCGTGCTCGGCGCGCAACGGCGCCGCCGGCCCTCGCGGCGCGGCCCTCCGACCTGCCGAGCACGGAGAAAACGTTCCCGCAGACAGGCAGCATCATGCTGTTGACCGTCGCCGAGAAGCATCACTCTTTCTCGTCGCCCAGCATGAAGTAGAAACTCGCGCTGCTGAGAGACAGCTGCAGGGCGGCCTGCATCGGCGCGCCGGCGAGCACGATGGCGCTCCCGCGGGCGCGGCTCCAGCAGGTCCTCCCAGCAAGCGGCTCGCCGCGCCCCAGGCCCTTGTGGCTTTGCGGGGCTGAATCCCGCCGGGCCTGGGGCGGGCCGCGGAGCCCGCGGGCGCCATGCAGCGCGAAGCCGACGACGCCGCCCAGCGCGGCCACGGTCGCGAGCGCGTCGCCGAAGTCCAGCGCGAAGCCGACGTGCAGCAGGCCCCCGAACGCGAGCATCAGCACGTCGCCGAGGTCCAGGCGGAAGGGGAGGAGTACGCCAGCATCAGCCCCGCCACAATGGTGGCCACCGTGCCCATCATGTCCACCCCGCCCCAGACGAACGAGACCAGCGACGGGCCCGAGTCCGGGCGCGCCCTAAGCCCCCGACCCAGCACGGCCTCCGAGAGCAGGTCCACGGTGCTGGCGCACAGGGAGCAGGTGATCAGGAGCGGCACTACGCGCGGCCGCCCTGGGCCGAGCTGCCCGAAGAAGTCGAAGAGTCCGAGCTCGACGAGGAGGACGCCCGCGGTGCCACACTGCCAACGGGGCCCGCTCGGAGGACGAGGAGGACGCGGTCCTTGGTGACGTACTTCTCGCCGAAACGATGCCTCACCAAAATGGCGCCCGCCCCGATGGCAAACCCCCTATGGCGACAAGGCGCGGGGAACACCTGCTTGACCGCGCAAGGAAGCCACTGGTCTTGAGAACGGCTCCACACTTCCGCCGTCTGGCCGACTGCGAAAGCTGGCGCGGCTGCGGCTGCGGCGCGTGCCCCAGCGGCGCGGCTGCGGCTGCGGCGCGTGCCGCGTGCCGCTGCTGGAGCTGCGCTGGAGCCGCCGGCTGCGGCGCAGCTGCGGCTGGGGTGGCGGCTGCCAGCTGCGGCTGGGGCGGCGGCTGCCGGCTGCCGGCTGCGGCTGCGGCTGCCGGCTGCCGGCTGCGGCTGCGGCTCCGGCTGCGCTGGAACTGCGCTGGAACTGGCAGCTGCGGCGCTGCCATCCCCGGCGGGGCGGCTGCGGCTGCGCGCGGCGCCTGCGCCGCCTGCGCCGCGGTCTGCCCGCCGCGCCGCGCGCGCGTCCTCCCGGAGCCGCCTCGCTCCGACGCTCGCGGGCGGCATCGGGTAGCCCATGCGGGCCTGCCCCGGCGCGGCCGCAAGATCCAGGGCCGCGTGCTCGTGGGGGCAGTGCCCGTGGCGGCACGCGCGCCAGCATGTCGGGACCGACTTGCCGTCTTTCACGCACACCGCGCAATGCTTGCCCCAGGACTCGAGCAGAGCTGGCAACTCAACTTTGCATGGGGCCTCGGGGCAATCGGTGGGCGACAAGACCCCCGCTTCCAGCCACAATTCCTCGATCTGGTCCAATCGCCGAGCCCTGAGCTGGGCGATCAAACTGTCGGCCCTCTCGCGGGGCACAGGCCCTGGCGTGCTGATGCGCATCGCGAAGTATTGGCGTTCCCCCATCTCGACGCGCTGCGCCGTGGCGTCAGGCCCACCCGCGGTGGCGTGGCAGTCCTCCAAGATCGCCTCGATGCTGGGCATAAACACCGTGGTGTTCTTCCGCGAGCCTGGCCTCCGCACCGCTCTCCCATCGTGAAGCATCCACGCGTCCGGGAATGACGGTCGCAACGCAGTGGCGCGCGGCCTGGCCAGCAAGGAGAATGACATCTCCTGAGGGTGGCGAATCCGAAAAGCCCGACGGTGTTATACCCAGAGAAGGCCCCAAGAGGACTCCAAGAGAAGCCCAATGAAGCCCAATATGGCTCCAAGAGACCTTCGAGAACCTGTCACAACAACACCTCAACTCGCCTGGGCATCGTTGTTGGATGGGCTGGTGGGGATACGCGAAGCGTCGAGAATTTCGCCACCTGGTCCTCGTTGACAGGGGGGGCCGTCCACACCGCGACGCAATCGGCGAGCTCGTTGACGACGTCCTGCATGGTCCCAGACTTCCTGCATGGTCCCAAACCGGTCTTGAGGTGGTTGTTCGCCTGCTCGGGCGGCTGCCAGCTGGGGCCGCGGCCCCGGGCGTTGCCAGCGCCGGCGCCGTGATGCCACGTTGCCCGAATCAACTCCGCCAAGCCCATGGCCTCGCTGTCGTCAGGTCCGAGGGCCGTCGTGCGGAGATACCTCCGCTTGAAATAATTCCACCATTTCAGGTCGTCCCAGATGTGAACAATGCGACGTCCTGTGTGATGCCAAATCACGTGGAACATTATGCGGCTTGGAACGTAAGAGGACGCATGTATGTAGGCGATGGGGGTAGATATCTGGCGACCCCTCAACCGCTGGGTCCCGCGGCGCAGGCCGCCATCGTGGTTGCGCTTCAGATTCCTGACCATGTTGGCCAGGCTGCGGCACACCCTTGAGTTCGGAGCCGCTGCAGGGCTGATCTTGAAGACCTCGTTGAGGCCGGGGAAATGGTCCAGCCCCATCTGGTCGAAGAGGGGCAGGTCCCGACGTGCCAGCTCCGCGCCGATCTCACGGAAGGCGTGCTCGTACACAAGATGGCCCTCTCGAGGGTGCACCACCACGCACAGCGGAAGGGGTGTCTGCCGCCACCTGCCCTTGACGCACCGATAAAAAACAGCGTGGACCATTCCGAATACGTACTTGCCCCACTCTACGTTGAAGGTGCAGTCTGCAACGTCCACGACGTAGGGCATGTCCACCCCGGCGGCTTTCAGGTGCTGCAGCCAAGAGAACACCGGGGGGATGAGGACGCAGAACGAAGTGACGGAAGGGCCGAGCTTGCAGTGCGCGAACGACACGAAACCGCGAGACGGGCCCATGTTCTCGGCAACGTACGTCTCGAACTCCGACGACCAAGCCACTCGCCGAACTCGGCGACCCCCTCTCGCTCGTTTCCTCTGGCGTTTCACAAAATTCCGCAACGCGGACGGAAGGGCGAGGCGTTGGTACCGCTTCCGCATCAGTTTTTGAACTTGGAAAGGGGTGCAAGGGAGCTCTCTCAATCTCAAATCATCCAGGATGCCCAAGGTCAGCCGCTTCAGCTCCAGAGTGAAAGGCGAGTACCGCGACGATGTCGTCGGCGCCGGATTGGTCCGCGTTCGGAGGGGCGGGGCCACCCCGCTGCAGACGCCCCTCGCAGCCACCTGCAGGCGATACGTGCCGCGCCGCCGTCGGACGCCCTGGAAACGATATATGGTGCCGCGGCCCTGCTTGCACGAGGTGCACAGCGAGCGCTTCGCCGTGGTCCGCCACTCCCGCCCGCGTTGCCAAGGGGCGGCAAGTTTGCCGAACCCCTGCTCCGGGTGCCGCCTCGCCCACGCCTTCACGGCCGCCTTCGACGTCATCTGAGGCGTCGAGAACTCCAGCAGCTCGAGGTCGGCGACGAGCACAGTGAAGTCAGCCCCGACGCGTCGCCAGCCCGACGGCGGCACGTTCGGGTTGCCGCGCCGCGCTCTCGGCGCCTCAGGTTCGTCTTCTGAGCTCACGTAGATGGGCGCGGCTGGCGCCGCGGAGGGCGCCGCGGAGGGCGCCGCGGCTGGCGCCTCGCGTTCCATGGGCGCGGCTGGCGCCGCGGAGGGCGCCGCGCTCTCGGCGCCCTTGGCTCGCCAGTCGAATGGCTTGAGCCAAAATTGGCTCGCCAGCCACGTCCTCCCCGTTCCGCACGAAGAGGGCCCCCTGGCCCCTCTCGGGGTCCAAACGCACATTTTTTCCAACCGCTCCCAGCCGCGGCGACGAGGAGGGCCCCCGAGGGCCCCAAGAGTGCCCCAAGAGCGCCCAAGAGCGCCCCAAGAGCGCCCCAAGATTGCCTTTTTGAGCCTCCGAAGGGAGAGGGAGCTGAATCCGCTACCCCCCATTTTTGGGCCATGGAGCCCAATATCGCCCCAAGAGCCCGAAGAGGACCCCAAGATGGCACAGCGCAGTGTCGAACAGCACAGCGCAGTGTCAACGGCGCAGTGTCGAACAGCACAGCGCAGTGTCAACAGCGCAGCGTCAACAGCGCAGTGTCAATTCACTCATTTAACGCGGTGTCAACAGCGCAGTGTCAATTCACCGTTAAGAGCTCTCTTTCCGAAGGCAGCACGCGCGGGAATTCCCGTTGCTCCACACGGCCCGCAATGCGCTGCAGCAGCGCGTCGGCGGACCGCATGGTTTCGAGGGCCCGCAGGAGCTCCGTGAAGTCTCCCTCGGATAATGAGCGACGTAGCTCCCATGCCTTCTGCGAAAACACCGCGCCGATCTCTCCGTCGCCAACCTGCATGCCGTGGCCCTCCAATAACACCTGGAGCCCCTTGACGCTGGGGGGCAACATCGCGCGTTTCACAGCCGCGTCATCGAACATGCTGGTCCACTGAGCGTTCTGCATGGTCGCAGCGCCGCGAGGGATAAACAGGGCGACTGGCGAGACAAGGTGGGGCGCGCACGATGTCCAATCAGGGCCTTCGAACCTAGAATGCATCACGCGTGAGCTGTTCACACAAGAGGACTCACCTGTGGGCAGACCCAGACCAATATGCTCCTGCGGAGCTTCCAGGACATGCGACATGGAGGGCCGTAGCAAGATCGAGGGGGGACCCTCTCCCAACAGCGCCCGCGCAACTCGACAATCCCACCAGCCTTCTGGGCGACAGCTCTAACGCGGTCTCTTTCCTCTCCCACTCAGTTGCGAGGGCGTCTCAGGCGAGACCGGGGGGGCAACCTCAGGTAGAGTCATCTATACGACCAGACTTCATAATATTTCTCAAGCGAAGCTGACTGGACCACTTCGTGCGCGGAACTTCGAAGCCCAAACTTGGGAGGATGTCTCCAACGAGGCTGGGTGGACCACGTCAGGCCGAGGCATATCTGAACCCCGATTTGCCGCGATGTCTCAAGCGAGATTGGCCGGAGCGCTTCCTGCGCAGCACCTCTAAGTCCAAAGTTGAGAAGATGTCTCAGGCGAGGCTGGCCAGGCCACCTCAGGCGAAGTCATCAATGCGACCATACTTGCGCGGATGTCTGCAACGAAATCGCGTGGACGGCGTCACGACGACGACGACGACAACGACGAGGACAAAGACGAGGGCAAAGACGACGGCGACGAAGACGACGACCATGACGACGACGAAGTGACGAAAAATGCTCGATGCATGCCCAGGGCGGTTCAGAAACACAGCCTGCCGGGCGCACCCTGGGCGGTCTGTATGTCGACACTGGGCGCTGCGAGGCGCCGCCTAGGCTGCAGCTGGCTGAACGGCTGGAGATCGCGTCTGCAATCCCTACTCCCTCCCCC